TTCCTTACATCTACAGTATCTCCAGGTCATCTTTTTTATTCTTCTTTCAAAGAAGACATTCAAAAGTGGTTTCTTCAAAATTCAGTTTAGGAACGAACAATGAGTTACTCCAAACCCTTACCATGGTATAGATTCCCTTAGCAGTATAGGCAAATATTAAAGGATGCTATTCATGTTACATTGAAAACATTATCAAATCTGTCAGTTACAGATAGCAAGATCAAATTTCTTGGGTGATTATTTAAAGAATCCGTAAAATAGGAAATTTAATTGATTCCTTCGCTGTTGAGTCATTTACCACAGCTGGCCAATAGATGACGAAAGTTAACGTAATTCAGATTCTATATCTCACTTAGTCAGTGTCTCTCATTAATGAATAGCTACCGTAATTGGCTCAACAATCTTGACCCTATCTGCCATCAACTCGTTCCAAACAAATTGATATGAGTGCGTGGTGGTGGGTTGATTACATTTGACACAGCGATTTTACTCTATATACCTAACTCAAATGTCATGCAAAATATGTGCAAGGGGATTACTAAAAAAATTTTCTCTCAAAGTTTACCTCAGGAAGTTAAGAGTATTGCCAGCAGAGTAACTGGTAGATAAGAAGATAACATGACACGTTAAATTCTGTTTTATTTTCTCTTGAGATAACAGAAAAAATTCATACATAAATACTGAAGTATAGTATAAGGACAATACAACAAGATAACCACCTCTGCATTTAGAGGTTCACTTAAGTTGTACTTAGTGAAATATGAGTGAACATATCTAGATATTGAAAACGATTTGGGATTGACAATGGACAGCATGCAAAATTTGTTTTAAAGGTATTCAGGAGTAGTTCAAATTAATTTTGAGCCTATATTTTTTATTCTTCCTCAAACCGAAGCTACATTTAACGTGTTATAACTGCGTAGATGATCGTTTTGTGTTAGTAGATAGAAAATGTTGAACAATAAAAAAATATTTTTGCATATCCAAATAACTAAAAGTGTTTCATTTCCTTACTAGAATTGTTTAATAGATTGCTTAATTAATAAAGCTCACAAAGAAATTACAGGTTGAATACAAATAACTTTAATGACATTATCTCGCTCAAGTGTAGGGTATCTGGAACTACCTAGGCATTCGTGAATAAAAATAACAAATTTGTGAATTCTCAAAGAGGCAAAACAGTTCTAATTTTAATTTACAAAGTTTTGCATATGTACACTTTCGCAATAATTATCTCATTAGAGCCTACATACTATGTAACAAGGGAAATATCAATAAAAACGTGAAAATTTATAAAAAAATTCCCCTCATCTTTTGTCAAAGGGTGATTAATAAAATAAAAGCTGAGAACATTATCTATTTGCAGTCAAAATAATTTGAGTTACGAGAATTAAAATTACAAAATTGGAAAATGGATCCAAATACGTAAGAGAACTCACAAAAGAATCATTAAAAAACTTAGTCAAGAAGCAAACATTTCATACTAAATAGGGATTATTTCAATTATAGTTTTAAAATAAAAAAAATATAGATTAAATAATGTCACTTACCTCTCAGTATTCACTAAATATAAAAAAACTTTCTGGATAAGTTTAATCCAGATTTTGAGAGAAATAATATGCATTAATAATGTTCGAAAACTAGATTTCGTAATTATATAGCTCGGTAATAATTTTTGCTTTTAACACACATGAATAACGGCGGTTACATCAATTTCAATATCAATTTTAGGGGATGGCATCTATGAGTGACTTAGATCGTCAGATAGCGGTTCTTAGGGAATGTAAATTAATATCAGAGACTGAGGTCAAATCCCTTTGTGCTAAAGCTCGTGAGATTTTGATTGAAGAGAGTAACGTTCAGTATGTTGATGCGCCAGTGACGGTGTGTAACAAATAAATTTTGATATTTTGGATATTTAGGTCTGTGGCGATATTCATGGTCAATTCTATGATTTGATTGAGCTATTTAAAGTTGGTGGTGAAGTACCTGACACGAATTATTTGTTCTTGGGTGATTTTGTTGACAGAGGTTATTACAGTGTAGAAACTTTTTTGCTACTTTTGGCTCTTAAGGTATATTTCGGTTCACAAATAATCGTATATTTCTAGGTTCGATATCCAGATCGTATCACTCTTATAAGAGGCAATCACGAAAGCCGTCAGATTACAACTGCCTATGGATTTTACGAGGAGTGCGTTCGGAAATACGGCTCACCACTCGTGTGGCGTCAATGCACAGAGATTTTTGACTATTTGTGCTTATCTGCTATCATTGATGATCGGGTTAGTTGAAAACCACCGAGGTTTTTTCACTAAACATCAGTAACCAGATGCTAATATTGGGCCTTCTGTTTCCCGCAGATATTTTGTGTTCATGGTGGCCTATCACCTCATATTGAACGGCTTGATCAGATAAGGACTATCGACCGAAAGCAGGAGGTACCCCATGAGGGTCCCATGTGTGACCTTCTTTGGTCCGATCCTGAGGATTCACCTGGTTGGAATGTTAGCCCACGGGGTGCCGGATTTCTATTCGGTGCTGACACCGTCCAGAAATTCAATCACGAAAATAAACTCGATCTCATTTGTCGCGCTCACCAATTAGTAATGGAGGGCAGACGTTATCATTTTAATGAAACCGTTCTCACTGTATGGTCAGCACCAAATTATTGCTATCGGTGCGGTAATGTTGCTGCTATACTTCGACTTGATGAATATCTTAATCGAGATTTTGCTATTTTTGAAGCCGCTCCTCAGGTAAGCCGTTTTCATCTCCTTTGATAACTTCTTATCACTTAGAATATTAGTCATTAAGATGTCTTTTATTTGCTTTTTAGAATAATCGCAGTTTTCCTGCTCGTAAACCAGTTCCTGATTACTTTCTGTGAGACTTTCGTGCCTCATGTATCTGAAGTATATACAGATGTAAAAAAGGTCACCCTTCGTTAAAGTGTAACTATGTGCATCAAATCTTTGCTGGATTTTAATGTTTTCTTGCATTTCTGCAAAACTGTAATATATATATTTGTATTGTCACTACAATTTCGGGTCGTGTGTTTGTATATTTTTTTTGTGCATTTAATCCCAATCGGTTTTTGTTGCTGGAAGAGGACATTTCGTGTACATAGCTTCATAAGTCAGTAGCCGTTTAGAAATCAGCCTGTCTACTCTGGATTATGAAATAATCTACCGTTGAATAAATGCATTTTGTTAAATTCGTCTGGATTTATTTGTCTCTCATTTTGACTTTTCACCGCAATTATCCATGCGTCTTCTTGCATATACACTGTGCTCAATTGTCTTCTAATTTCTTCAATATCCCATCCTTGATGCTTTCAAAACGAGTACATTCAATTCCCTAAGTAAAGTATTGCGAAGTGCAGAGATTGCATGAATCCCTGAAATGAGGTAATTGAATCATTTACATGAGCAGTTCAAGTTTTTGCTATGCTGACTCCAGAGGTTACCAACAGAACGAAATTTCAGAATTATTCTATTTGGCTCTGGGCATGGCTTAAGGTAGTGGGATAGACTATTTTTCTTCACCGATCTGGGTTCGACGATGTGGTTGCTACTTAATTCTTCCTTTTGCTGAGATTTCTTTAAGGTATTTACCGAACTATGGGCTGCTTTGTGAGTAAAACCATTGGCCATGAAGGAAGTCATCGAATCGGGCAATCTACGAACTTTGCTTTAACAGGTTCCCATCATTGGTAGTGAATGAACTTCATACAATTTTGACAAATCTTGATTCGGATGCCAAAACAAGAGGCCAATAATCAAAAGGAAGCGACCTCAAGGCGGATGCAAGCCTCTTAAGCGCTCCCTAAATGAGCGACCAGTAACGTCAAAAAATTACATCAGTTTGTGCTTCACCTTACTTGACTATAAAAAACTAATTTTGCAAAAATATAGACTTTAGATCTCTATAACTTTGCATTTCTGTTTCAATCTCTTTCAGTTCTCCCTTCTACTTCATATAGTAACTTATAACGGATTGTCACATTAATTACCTTTGATTTATGCTCGGTAATTTCCATTGCAAGATCCCCACAACGATCTAGATGAAATAGACGTACGTTGTAGAAAGTGTCTACCTGGTTTGTGCTTAAGTCATAGATCTTAGTCACTAAAATACAATAACGGGTTTGTCAAACAAAGTAGGGACTATTGATTGGCGGCTGGCTGAGAGGTCTTTTCAATCACGACTCCACTTGTCCAATACGTAACAAGCAGTTTGGCGCACTATCGGGTCTGTCTGAGTGAGCATGAGATTTCTGTTCAGCCATGGCAGCGTTGTGCACTCCGCAAACTGCCGTTGTACGATAGACTTTGAATGACACTTAACCCCCAGTGCAATGTCAAATCTGGATTGTATTTTTTCGCCTTTTTCCACCGAACCACTAGTCTTTGCTCTTGCTATTCCAATGGAAAAATGCCCAAACTTATGATAAATCTATAAAATTTGCACCACTTATTAGTTTGACGGTAAGTTCTGGGTGCATAGACACGCAAAATCATCTAAAATTAGTTCACTAGTCTAGACAATGTTTAATGCGTATGAATACGACAACGTCAAGTAAAAATTTTAATATGCTCTATTTATAAATTTCAAATTGAAGTATGTTGCAGATATTTGCTAACTACAAGAGTTGATGAAAATTTACCATCTGATGTATGGCTTATTTAGGTATGCAAGTAAGGGAAGAAAAAATGAGAGGATATGGGCAATAAATCACTCGAAATATATTAGACCTCTACGTGAATTAATATATAGTATAACGGACAAATATATATTCTTTCCCCTTTTTAGTCAATATAACATCGATTTTAATGCAGCTTATTTTTCCACTAATTAATATTGGTTGTCATATTATATGAGCATTATTTTTAATGGCCTTAAGAGCATATTCTGATTGGGGATTTGGCTGACATTCCGTTCATTGTCTCTTTCATTCTCAAAGTTTTGTTGCCTATTTGGTGAGTAATAATACTGAAGGTTTGATTTTTTGTCAAATCATTTTTTTTAAATCTTTAGGATGTATCCTCGTTACAATTATATCAATTCAACATTGCTCACACCTCATGTTGTTCAACAACCAGCCGGATTTCATACTTATCCTCAGATACCTATTCAACAGTTGGGTCTTCAGCCCATCTCATTTAATGGGCTTTCTAATGCTCATGGTGACACTTCCATCAATTTATTAGATGCTCATTCAAGCATACCTTTTTCTCCTTCTAATCCAACTTCCACCACAACAAGATTTTTCTTGCCAAATTCTCGATATGTCCATCCTCCACTAATTCCTACACATTTATCCGCAAATCGGTCTCACTTCCAAACGTCTTTTCATTCTCAGCCAACAGATTGTTTGACGCAACCTGTGCCTCTAATGTCAATTAACTTACCTCCAAATGTGAGTATTAATCCTATTAATCTCTCTGGTCGGAGTCTAACGCAGAAGAAAGTTCCAAATAACCGCCAAATTAGACGTACAGTCCGAACTATCTCTCCATCCCGCGGGTTATCTAATGAAGCTGTTGATCATGTTACTGATCAAATGAGCGAAACCTTGCGTTTAAATTGTCCATCATCCTCACATGAAAAACAACAAGACTTTGAACCTCCTAAAGAGTGCGCCTTTATTTCGTTTTTAATGTTATTTTTCAGCATATTTATTGTCATTTAAAGGTAATGTTTGCATAGGATCCCACCTACTCAGGGTAGTCCTAAGCTTGCGAACTCTTCAAACATATCCTCTCACTCTGAATTGGCCGAAACGAAACTTGGCTGTAAAACCCCCTCTGTTCGGTGAGTATTCTACTTTTCGATAAATAATTGTTCTCACTTTAGCAGTGTTTCGGACAAGTGTAAGCTCTCAGTTTCAGAAAAACCCAAATTTGATCCATCTTGTAATGCTTCGTCGCGTTTGAAAAAGGAGGAAGTCTCGTCGAATCCTAAGTAAATCCACATGAATTTTTGTATCACAATACTTTTTGCTATGGTAGCATATTGCCACTTCTTAATCGCTCATTTTTGTCGGATTTAAAATGATGGGAATTCAAATAAGGCTTTTTTGCACTTCATTTTTTAAACTATTTCTAGGCGCTTAAATACTTTCAAATAATATTATACGACTTCTTGTTGGATGGTTGGGTATCTGTCTGGTCAGTTGTCCTGAGACAGAAAAACAACCTTCGTTGATGTTATCCTCTTATTTTTTAAATTTATGCATCTTGTCTTGATTTTGATCTCTTATATGATCTATTTCCATTTGTTGATGTAGTCTAAATACTTTGCGGCTATATTTGATTCAATTTGCCAATGTCAAATATATACGAAATGGGATTAAAATAAACCATTGTATTTGTCTCTCCAGTTTCTCAAAATTGTGATACATTTTGTGCTGAAATTGGTTTCTCTATTTGAAACCCTTTGCATATAGTTTACATATGGTTAGTCTCATCATACCTACCCGGCGTGATGATGACGTGTGGGTTCCCCTTGGATAATGTGTGGCATTTCGTGCTTTGGGAAGAAAATGTTGATTTATGTTATCGGGTTGTGGTTATTTTATTTTAACGGGGTTTGTCTAACAAAAAGGACATATATTTCATGTTTGATTTGGGAATGTATATTTGTTCAACTTGAGGAAACACTGCTCTCTTAGGGTAGAATGTTTGTAGGATTTAATGCTCTATGAATCGTAAATTCCTTCTACTATTTACAATACAGAAATGAAAATGGGCGTGGTGTAGCCACTCATTCCTTAAAATAACACGATTTCAGACGGTAGCCTTCTTAAAGGGTCAGACAATTTAACTCTGATTTGTGAATTACGTGACTATATTACATCAAAAGAATTCAAATTAGTTAACAGATCTACATGTATATTGCGTATAAAGTGATTTAATGCTGGCTAGTTTTAGGTAGCCGGGTGGATTTTGGAACATAAAGTGGTTAAGTATATTTTTTCTGCGTAAGTCTATCATGCTGTTTTCATAAATAACACCATCTGGATCCTTATCACTGCTAATCGGTACGTTCAATTGATGAATAGTAATTTGGATCATTTTGTTTCTCTACTAGACCACTTTCATGGGCAGATGTAGCGACAACTTTGCCAAAGCTAAAATCCCAACCTTTACCATCAGCATTAAAACAGACTGATCTTGCCGCCTCTACAAGTAAGCTTTCTTCAAACACTGAGCAATTTCGCCGTCAGAAATGCTTTAAGTTGCTTGAATGCACATCAACAGAAGTTGAAAAACAAGCAACCGCAGCACGGTTGTCGAAGCGACATCGAGAGCGGCGAAATAGGAGGAAGCAGCGAAAAATCTCTGTAGAGCAGCGAGAACGGCTGCTGATGCGCTATCGTTCGCAGTTGGAGAAGCAAAGAACTGCCACTGCCCAAAAGATTCCAGCCATTCTCATACCGAAAAAGAAACGCCCCACGCGGCTCAAGGCTGGTATTCTTCGTGATCGTCTTGCCAGATCCACTTTGCGTACTTTGCTACAACAACAACAACAGCAAATTGTTTGTTCAGCTGAAGAATCTGAGGCATCGAAAAAAACGGAAGACGCGATTGTAATTAAGGTCACGCCACCAAAAGTTGAGGTAAGCTGTTGATTGGAAACGATAGTAGTTGACTGCATGAGTATATTTTTGCTAGAAAGATGAATGTCTCTAACAGTGGCTTAATTAGCCAATTATTCCTTCAGTGGTAGCTTTTTGCATATCCGAATACGAATGTGGAAACTAAATAATGGATAAATCAGTGCTCTAGGGAGTAAACTGTTGCTGCTTCCTCGCTCCAGCTCGCGGATAATACCCGAATAGGCAGATGATTTATAATGCACACTGCCCTGTGCCTCTGAAGCTGG